GTGCGATTATATAATGTTGATGTGTGTGTGTGTGTTTTTTTTTTGTGTGAGCTGACCGTAATGTATGTTGTGTATATATGTGACCGAATGTTGGTATTTGGTGCTGCGTCCATTAATTGTTGGTAATTCGCTTGCAATGGCTACGCAGCGTCGTAGTGGAGTTCATGCTTGGGAATGCATTGGGAACATGATTACGACTTTGTTTGTTGTGAAGGGATGCGGTTGGAATGCACGTGTTGTGGGATTGTGTGTGCATTTTTGTTAAGAAGTCGTTGACGCTGGGCATGCATGTGGCGTAACCGAAAATAACATATATGTTGGTTAAGCGTTTGTGGGTTACATTAGAATCAAATTCCAGAATGTAACATTTAACCCCGTCTAACATTTGCTGAAATGAGAGCTACAAACATTTATGTAACGGTCAATAGCGATTCACAAAAAATGTGAATGTATTCCTAAAGATTGGGTATTGCGAAGTAGTTGTAAATGAAGTTTTCACATGAACATTGTACGAGACTGTACTGTTCCATTACCACTTGCCATCGTGTGGGTGCTGCAGTTTGGGTGACACGCAGTGGATGGGGTTGCTCCAATATTGGTAGTCTGCAAAATCATTAATGTTTCGTAAATAAAAGTCATTAACAAGTGAGGAAAAAAAGAGTTGTCGAAAATACGAACGTATTCCCAAAATTTTGTTGTTTCTTGAATTAAAATTAGTTAGAAATAAGTCAATGCGAATAAGTATGCACGAACGGAAAAAGAATTGTAACATTAACACATTAACACCAACCATGATTCATACTAGGTAAATTTATTTGTAACGTTAAATGTTTTGTAAATAAAAGTTATTTAACAAGTGGGGAAAGTAATAGTTGCCGAAAATGTGAACGTATTACCAAAAATTGGTTATTACTTGAATTTAAATTAGTTAGAAACAGGTAAATGTGAAAAAGTATGCACAATCGAAAAAATTAATTCAACATTAACACCAACGGTAAATCGTACTAGGAAAATTTATTTGTAACGTCAAATTGAAAACGAACTAAGACATGATTGGAAATATTTAAAAATGAAAGAAAAAATTAAAGCCATGCGTAATGGGTTGAATTGAACATCTTCGCGCACTGCTTGTGACACTATATTGGTTCATTGCATGTTTTCCTATTATGGTTCCCCAATCGTCCGCAACAGCCACACTGAATTTGTTGCTCTTCTTCACCTTTCGATGGTATCCTCTTCTTCTTTGGTTTGCCAGGTGGACGCTACACAACCGGAGGTAGAATACCATAATGTTTGAGAGTGTCCTGTGGTTTATCAACTGTTAGTATTGGATATATGGCTTGGGAGTATGCTGATTGGTAGTTGGTTATGTGGAAATAAGGTTCAACCAACACATTCAAATCCTTCCCACTATTGCGGAGAACAACTATTGCATGTTCGCACGGGATCCCATTGATCTGCCACTGGAAACATGAGCATGTACGCCTACGAATGTCCACTAAAACAGATGGGTGTGAGTGGACCTCGTATACGTCATTATTAGACTGACTGACAGTCCATGATCTTTCCTTCTTGTACGCCATTTCCAATTTGTACTCCATCTTCGGACATATTACACCAGCCTAAGAACTTGACGCTCCCATACGGTCGGACAACATCTGATTAATAATCTGTGTCTTAATTGCTTCAATTATTTGGGTAATTGGTAAATGGCGTGCTTCCTTTATCCAATTGTTAAATGATTCGGCAGCGTTGGAACACATCTCATCGTAACGGTTGCCTCTAAAAAATGTGCGATTTTGATATGTAATGTGTGAGGTGAAATCGGGGAAAATAAGTCATGAACATGGTGTAAGAATAAGTTTAATGTAATTGTTTACGTATTCCGTTACCTGAAATATGCGTTGGCCCAGTGGTGCGGCTGTAGATCTTGTAAGAAATTGACAGCGATATGCCTTCCGGACTGCATGATCACCTGGATTTTTTCGTTGAAGTCAACTACGGTAGGTGCGTAGGCACATTCCCGCAATTTACTTACTACTCCAATACGGTATAATTTGTTGATATATTTCATCTTGTCCTTCAAATTCCTCTGTAAATGTTGCATGCAAAAAGCGTGGTGGGCAGACGGGAAAATGGTAGGCAACGATTCGATAATACCGACATGACGATCCGAAACAAATGTCAGATTCCGGTCCCTAACAACTATGTTAGCCAAATTTTGTAAGAACCATGCCTAATTCGCTGCATTTTTGGAATCAACAATTGCAAAAGCCACCAGGAACAGTCCTGGAACAATAAAAAAAATTTAAAAAAATAACACAAAAGTGCTGAAATTAGAGTGTATACCACACTGGAATTAACATTCCATTGTGAGTGAAATCAATCACATATTTTGGTGATCCCCCATAATCATGACAAGCACAACAATTACGAAAAACATTACCTTGGTTGCCATCTTTTGCAATCGCTGCAAACAGGTTACCTTTAAACCTACCTTTGAGAAACATACCATCAAGAAACAGTAGCGGGCAACAATGGTTAAACTCATCTATGCATGCTTTGAATGATATGAACAGCCTATTAAAACGACGTGTGTTGTGTTTATCGAAGTCAAGATTAATACAACTTTTAGGGTTATATTCCATAACTGCGTTGCTGTACCAATGCAATTGGTCGAATGACACAGAATGATCATCATACAGTTCTCCTTTGGCATTTTCAACACCCAACCAAGCTACTCGATAACTAATATGCAGACCGTATGCTTTTTTGAAATCGTACTTGACGTCGGTAGGGCGAGTCAATGGTTTGTTATGCACATGTTCTGCAATAACATCTGCAACAAGCTCGGACTCCATCCTCGGGTTTCTGTCAGTACGCACAGTGATTCCACACGTGTGGTCACAGTTCCACTTCTTCAGATAAAAATACCCATTAGCATTCAACACCCTTGCATGGATGGACCACACTTCCTTGACTCGCTAAACATGCATTTAGCCATAATACGAACGGAGTCATTCTTTCTAAACCTAAATTGAAACCCATATTCGATTGCGTATTTGCTGAGAACCTTGCGAAATTCCACTGCTCCTCCCTCGAAACATTGCCCAATATTAGTTATGCCATTTGCCCAATTTGCCGACAACAACACCTTGCTAGTGTGTTGGCAAAAATTAGGCAACAAATCAGCATCCTCGTACATATTTGTGACCATTTCCAAGCCGTCACAAACTGTGCCATCGTGCCCATGAGCCAAACTCCCACCACATTTGACACCCTGTTCTTGACCATAGCTTACTACATCGACATCAATATGCTCCAGCCGAAATGACCTAACAAGACACAACATGTTTTCAAAGTCTGATTCGTTTTCCATTTTGAAATTATCGTATCCTGGAATCTTGAATGATATGGAAACTGAATCAGTTATCAATTTGATGAAGCAACCACACACATGAGCGGTCAATCTCCTAAACGTAAAATCAGAACGAACCATAACAACAATGTTCTTATTCTCATACGAACACAACAACATTATACTGTCACCCATTCCTACACGGTAACCAAAAAATATGTAAAATGCATATGAAACTCATGTTCATCAAGTCTGCAATATATGTATACTATTATTACACATTATTTCGAAACGTAACAAACGAAAACGGTGATGAGAATGATGTGGACGTAACAATATGACAATAACAGCCCCCACATCAGCCTTCGACCCCCTCACCACAATAAAAAACAAAACAAATAAACAACAAATACATTGTCGTGAACGAACTTGAAGGATGATGCACCACGAAAACCGCAACACAACAAACACATCACCTACAAAACTTAACCACGTCTTTGAACACCTTCCCCATTCTTCTACGCAAAATTCAAGTATTAATGAACCTTGCCATCCTTATAAATATGGCAATATATGAGACTCCATATCGTCCGTAACGAAACCAATGTAATAAACGAGATTCTTATTGAACCCTCCCAAAAACGTTTCCATTTACCAAATACAAAGGGCACAAATGTCATTAACACCAAATGCACAAAAGCAACATGAGATCTTACCGAACACAAATCTACAAAGAAAGGACTCCAATGTGAATTATTTTAAAAGCAGGACTTATTGGAGTAAAACTCTCCAAACGGGATTTACCAATAATTTCTCCTTGTTTTTATTGGGCTGAACATCTTTTCGGATATTCATCTAAAAACAACTTCGACAATCTTTTTTTTCATGTCTAGACGTTTTCAAAACATTTTTCCAAACAATAAAAAATGTAATAAAATCTAATAAAAATTTTAGTTTTTGCATTAGAATGAATGATATTAAATCAAATTTTTATTTAAATTTAATGAAATTTTTAATTCAACCATCCCTAAAAGGGAAAGTGCCCAAAAAAAATAAAAATAAAATAACAATCAGTATGTTTGGTTTGAGTTTTTTGAATTAAATTTTTTGAAAATTTAATTTTTTGATTTTCGTGTTTTTTTATTTTTAGTGAATATTTTTAAAATTTTAAACATTTTTTTTTACTTTTTTAGATGCACCTTACTTAGATGCATCTAAAAAGTAAAAAAATTGTGAAAAAATATTTTAAAAATTTAATAAATATATAAAAATATAAAAAAATATCCTGAATTCTCGTATTTTTTTTTATATTTTTTGCATTTAGTGAATTTTTAAAAGGTTTTTTTTTACAATTTTTCTACTTTTTAGGTATATTTATGTTAGGTATGTCTAAAAAGTAAAAAAATTACTTAAAATATTAAAAAAATTTAGTAAAAACAAAAAAATACGAAAAATAAGAAAGTAAAATTTTCTGAAAAGTGTTTTTGAAAAAATACAACCAAACAAGTTGAATGATACATCCCTATAAATCAATGAGTTCTAATAAACTCTAATGACATAAAAAATAAAAAAATAAAAAAATAAAAAAATCCAAAGCACAAATATCTCTATTACAATAAAATCCACACCCATTAGATTTTATTAGAGCTCCAAGAACATATTTGAAAAACAAAAACACGAACACAAACAAAAATTCAAAACCAAAATAAAAAAAGCTTTTGGTTTTAATCGCTTTCACTTCTTCGCCTCACTCATGGCGGACGTTTCATGCCTTCTTCACCTCCAAGAACACGACGGCGGAGACGACGCCGGCGGTGTCGACGCCTGCTTCGACGAATTATCGCCGCCCAATCTGTCTCTCTCCCTCGGTCCCCAAATCACCACCGTCCATCGACGCGACTCAGATCGAATCCGAGCTATGGACGAAGTTTCCGAGCCGGATTCAATCACCGCCGTCGATCTCTTCGACCGCGAGAACCAGGTTAACTTCGTCATGGACTTGTTCCATCAACGCGTCGAGCAGTCGTCGATGGGAGACGACGATCCCAATTTGGATCTGAGTTTCGGGGACATGATTGAAGAGATGAGTTCGAGTCATTTGGAGCTAGATCTAGGGTTAGGGTTAGGGTTAGGATTTTGTGTGGAAAGGCATGGTTTTGATGATGATGATAGTGACGACTACAATTGTGATTTTATGGTCGCCGATTCCGGCGACGAGTTCTTTGTCTCACGGAGGAGCTCCGGTGACTCCTCCACCTTGTGCGGCGGAGGAGAACAGGTTGTTAGGGTTTCGTCGGATTCGGAGGATGAGAATGATGGTCTGGGGATCGATTTGAATGCAGAGGATGATTGTGTGTTGGATAATAATGCTTGTGATGACGATATGAATCTTCGTATTTGTTGGGATTCGTTCCAATTGGAGGATCATAGGGACGCCGATGAAGATTTCGAGTGGGAGGAAGTGGATGGTAGGGTTGATGAGAGAGAAGTTCTGAGCATCTTCTTCGATGCTGATGCAGATGTGGATGTGGATTTGGATGTGGATGAGGATGAGGATGAGGATGAGGACTTGGATGTTTCGATAATTCCGTCACCAGAAGGTTTTTTTGTGGAGGGAGGAGAGGGTACAATGAGGAATTTGGAGTGGGAGGTTTTGTTGAATGTTCATAATTTGGAGACAAATATGGATCTAGAACAGGATGACATACCGTATTTGGGAGACCTCGACGAGTACAATTACATCGCGGAGTATGAAATGTTGTTGGGGCAATTAGCGGAGAATATAAATGCATTGGTTGGAAGGCCACCCGCATCAAAAACTGTCGTTGAAAATCTTCGATCAGTGGTTTTTACTCAAGAAGATGTGGATAATAATAATGTACTTTGCGCGGTTTGTAAAGATGGGATAAATATTGGGGAACAAGCAAAGGAGCTACCTTGTTCGCACCGGTACCATGGGGATTGCATTGTGCCATGGCTTGGCATTCGAAATACTTGTCCTGTTTGTCGCTATGAATTGCCCACAGACGATCCTGAGTATGAGCGGAGGAGGACCCAAAGAGCTGGCCATGTTCGCTGAGAAGCTATTCTAAGGTCAGGTATAATCTTGAAGTTTTTCTTGAGCATTAGATTGTTTTGATTGTAGATAATGATGTTGGAAAGAGTCTATTTCGACGAGGATGATGACATTGTTAATGATTTTGTACGTGATTTGTTAAGATTATATATGAATGTATTTGTTGCTAGGTTGTAATTGTGGGATCTTCCATATATTTCTTTTCTATGATTCATAACTCATCATTTTTTGTTAAAATTCATTTTTCTCTTAATGTTAGGTTTATTCACATTAATGCCTTGTGCTCATAAACTGTGGAAACCGCAGCTAATGGATTAGTTTAGGAGTATTTTTGAATTTGTTTGAGTTGTCAGAACTATGTCGGGTAATGTCGTGTAGCTGTTCGCTGCATTAAGTATAGGGCGAGTTTGTGTCAGCTTCATCATAAATTCTTTTGGGTTTTCTCTTCTTTATTCTACTTGGAGGCTGTAGGCATATTTGTTAATATTAAGTACTTCTACATGCAAATTATTTGCGGTCAAACAAAGAAAATAGTAGCTTTGTTATATCCTCTTTGGTTCCCTGTCTTGAGGAGAGCATTCACCACGTTCAAGGGATGTAATGGGACAGTCAGTGGCGGAAGGAGCAGGTCAAGCAGGGCCATACCCCGCTCCCCTCAATTTGGGAATTCCTTTTATAATTGGCTACAATTTGAAATAGTTTGTCGAAATTTATAAGTTGATCCTGTAAATCTGTAACGATTTGGAGATAAATAGCCTATAATTTCCTCGGACAGTTTTTTTTTGGGTGTGTGTGTGTGTCTAAAGCATTAAGACTCTAAAAATTCCCCAAAAATTTCTTCTTAATTTTTTAGATCACTCTCTTTATTAATCATTATGCAATTAATGCTCTTACTTACTAATTTGAGATAATTTCTTACCATCATTTTTTTTTGAGGTATCAGTTTAGCATAACAAGTAGTTTTATCTATCATAATACGTTTTCAATTCCAAGTCACTCATGAATTGATTCAAATGTGCATGGTATACCAATGCCTCTTCTTAGCTCGTTTGTATGAAAACTTGTTGCTCATTATATGCAAATGGAATCTTGTTGGGAATGGAGACTTAGAAAATGCATGTCATTTTTTATCATAAAGATCCAATTTTTAGGCTCCAATTTCTGAGGAGGTAAAACTTTACCAGTTGTGCCAAGTTCTCCATGTGTGATTTTTTTTTTTTCTTCATATGTTTAGTTATTTCCTAAATGGTGGATTGGCCTAACCAAGGTTCTGAAAAGCGGTTGCGGTCGCCGTCGCCGTAACGGTGGCGGTGACGCGGTTGCCGTAACGGTGACGGTGACGCGGTTGCGGTTGCGGTTGCGGGGTGTAAAGGCCGTAGTGTAACGGTTGCGGTAACCGAAACCGTGAATTTTTTTATTTTTCGCACAATTTGAAAAAAACTTACCGATACACATATTTTTTTTCCATGATCATATTTATTGGGTTAAAAATAAATATTGATCAATTGTTATAATTTTTTAAGTATGATCCAATATATTTCATATTTTTAAATTACTATAAATTGAGTTTTTTACATTTTATTTTAATAATTAATGACTATATTTTACAAAAAAGCAATCACTAACTATTATATATAAGATAAATAATGACAAAAGTAAGAGAATAAATAAGAGCCTAAATAAATATATATACATATACATATTTTAACCAAGTCAAATAGATAATGACCACACTTATTATTATTATTATTATTTTCAAACAATATATAGATAGACACATACAAACAAAATGGTTTCGTGATAGCAGCTGAATAAAATAGCATAGGTCTTATAGTTTCAACAAATTAATAACATGTTCTTTATCTTCCCTCTTCTCTCTCTCTCTCTCTCTATATCTCTTGCTCCTCCATTTTCTTTCTTTATCTTTCCTCTTCTCTCTATCCTTCTTCCCCCACTTTCATCTTTTTTTTGTGTGTTTTTTTCGAAAGAAACAATTTGGAACCGTTACGTAACGGTGCGTAACAGGCCGTTACGGCTGTTACGGCACCGTTATGACCGCTACGGCAGCTGCTACGGCCTACACACCTGTGAATCTCAATCACACTGCAACAGTGGCCGTAACGGGTGGCGGTAACCGCCAAAACCGTTACGTAACGGTTGCGGCCGCTTTTTAAAACCTTGGGCCTAACGGTAAGACTTGCCATTAGCGGTCTTGTTGGCACAAGTTTAAGTCACGGAAATAACCTCTCTAGAAATGGGGGTGAGGTTGTGTACATTTTGCCCCCCTAGACCCTTGTTTTAGCAGGAGCCTTGTGCATTGGATTGTCTTTTTTTTATGCTTAGTTATTTCCTTATTTGAATATGCACGAATGGATCTTGATTTGCTCTTGCACTTCACTGTTGGGTGCTTCTAGTAAGTTTTAGTCTGGTGGAGCTTAGAAACATGAATGTGTGTCATTTGAGTTAAGCCTGGTAATTTATCAAGTACAAGTTAATTTTGTGACGAATTGGTAAGTAAATGAAATCTTAGGTTTTAGTGGTCACAACCAAAGTTTTTAAAGGCGAATGCGTATCTCGAGGCGTTTTACCCTTCATGAGGCGAGGCGTAAGTCTCAAGGCGTTGAGGCGTAAGCATTTCAAATTTCAAATTTTAATATTTAGTGAATAAATTAAATATTTTAAAATAGTAAAAAAAAAATATAAGCAATTAAATATAAAGTTGCAAATATTTTTTTCCTTAAGGTTTTGAACATTCTACTGCATAAAAGGAAGTTTTCCTTCACTAAAAGTGAAATTGATATTCTTGACTTTAGTGATTGAGCTTCACTTGACCATTAACTGTGTTCTTTTTTTATTGATCATTTGCTTAATTTTTCTTGTAGAATATAATTGCAAAAAGGGTTTCTTTCTGTTTTTTTTTTTATGTTTAAACAATCTAATAAACTAAGTTTAACAAAAGCCCAAGGCAAGCTCTACATGTGCGTACTCCTCACATGTTTATGCGCAAAAAGCGTACAAAACGCACTTAAGGCGCATGTCTCAAACTGTGATGCGCAAGCCTTTGAGAATTAATGCCTAAAAATCAAAGTCTTGATGCGTTTTACCTTAGCTTCGAGGCAAGGTGAGCATCGAGGCGAGTCTCAGGAAAGCCTTTTAAAACTTTGGTCACAACATAGCAGGTAGCTGGGTAAGAACTTTTTGGAATTACTCACAATCATTGATGGAATTTTTTTAAATAGTATATCAGCTATTTTAAGTTTTATTTTTAATTTTCAATAGTAATTAAGAAGTTGAAGGTTACTAGAAGGACATGGTCAAACAAGGAAGTCCAGGAACTTGTTCAGTTGAGTTCTATAAATTTCTAAAACATAATAAATCCTAGTTTATATGCGACTAGGCAGAAATGTTTATGCATCATAATTCAACATTTATGTTGTGCTGTTTTGAAAGCATTCTTGATTGTATATTATGCTAAAGAAACACTGCTTTATTTTAGAGTTCAAAACCCGTTTTATATAGATAAGCATCTTGACAAGTGATTTCCTCAATAAAAGTGCACTTGCGCGAAATTGGTTTATGAATAATGTTTGGGACCCCTTTTTGGGGAGACCCCCACTACCTCCACAGTGATGTGGACCAATGATGTGTTTGTATTGTTGTTGTTGTTGTTGTTTTTTTTGTCTCTTTCTTACTTGGACCAATCACAAGTGAGTGGGGGTGATGTTCTGTGGGCGTCTGAATCATTACTGGTTGAGGCAATAATTTGTGATTTCCCTCTTTTTTGGGGGTTGTGTTTGTGGATTAATTTATAGTGTATGGTTAGGTAATCTCTCTGTGTATGTATATATATAGTCACATGGTTTCAGGGAGGTGTTGTGCCACCAGCATTGCATCATGTTCATCGGGTTTGCACCCACCACTGTCGGTTTTTCCTAGTTAAATTTGTGTTGTGTCTTTCCTCATGTATGGATGCTGTTGTTTGTTTTCGATTTCACATGCTTAGAATTATAGAGTTTTAAATGCCATTGAAATATTTTCAAGCAAATGCAATTGCCAGAACCATCCTTGATAAAGATATCAGAGAGAGCTCTGGATTTTCCATCCTTCAATTGATGAACATCTTTGTAGTAGTTATCTGGTCCAACTTTTATCTTACTGCTTATCAGAAGAACTTTTTTCGGTTTTTGCCTTCGTTTACACAAATTGTTATAATTTTCGTGGCCTCATGACTTCTGGGTTTTTTTATTCTCAAAACACACACACACACTTTTGGGTTTGTTTTCTATGCCTGTGAAGTCCTAGTGAGTACTAACTATGCATAAAACAGGTACATATGTCGTGTGTTGTGGAGAAAGGTATGAAGTTCTATATGTGAAGCACATACGGCTCGATTGCTGTGAAAAGTCTTTTTCCATCACGAATCTGAGAGTAAATTTTTCTGTAGACTTTTGGATAGTAATTTCCAAATTCAATCATTTCAGTTATGCTGTGTTTGGTCTTGGATTTATCGAGGGGAAATAGGGGGGGCTTCACATATGGCTCAATTGCTGTGAAAAGTCTTTTTCCATCATGAATCTGAGAGTAAATTTTTCTGTAGATTTTTGGATAGTAATTTCCAAATTCAATCATTTCAGTTATGTTTGGTGTTGGATTTATAGAGGAGAAATGGGGTGTGTGTTGTGAATTAGTTTGAACTTCATTTGCCCCCTCCCCCTCTACATATCAAATTGGTTAATTCACTATGCATAAAAATGAGGATAAATTACCAATAGGTTTTACTTTTGGGACTTATTATCTATTAAATTTTTTAGTTTATATTGTTTTTATGAATAAATTTATAGTGATAAATTTATCAGTTAGGACTTGTAGGTAAACAAGTCTAATTAATAGGACTAATTGATAAGACGTATTTCTATATATATTTTTTATATAAGGGATATAAAGGAAATTGCTTATAACTTATTTTATTATGAAAGTTTGTGTCAGGTTATTTAAGTGTAATATCTATTTATATCTTATTAAATAAAAATAATTTAAATAAGCCAAAAAAATTTGAAAAAATATGCTCTTGACTTTTGTTTTTAACTGTACCAAACAAGTCCAAAATTATACTTGCAACTATAGAACTCGAACTTGAGCATCACGATTGGTAAAGAAGTGTCTCATTCACTCGCCTTTTCTTTTTTAAAAAAAAACTTATTAAACACAAAAATGAAAAATTGAAAATTTTTTTTCTTTATTTTATTTTTATTTTTGGTGGCAAAGGCATCAAATAAATACAAAAGTTAACTATTATGTCAAAAGTGTGGGATTATCTATAATTTTGCCATACATTGTAATTTACCCTTATGATAGGTAACTTTTTTTAAATTAAAAAAAAAAATTATTATGAGCTTCAATTATAGTACCTACCTAGTAGGGGTGTCACTCTTTAGCCAATTGAATCTAGTAAAATCTTTGTTAACTATAGTTAGAATTACGTGCATTTCTTTAGTAATATATAATCTCGTTCACATTTGTGATGTTTACTTTCTTGTTTCTGTTCTGTCTTTCCTTCTACTCATCATCCTTTTTTATTTTCCAATTTTGAACTGACACGATAAAAAATGTGATTAACAACACAATAATTTATTCATCAAAAAAAAAAAAAAAACACAATAATGCTAAGGATTAAAATATTTCACATTTTAAATAAATAAATATATGTGACCTAAATTCAATACTTGTATAGTGAAACTCACATTGAATGCAAATCACATTTTTGTTTTTTTCAACATTTGCGTCCGAGTTTTTTGATATTATTCTTAACAATATGATCTTCTTTCTTTAATTTTTCCATCTTTCTAACTTAATGTATTTTTAATTATTGAATTATGTGATAATTTTAAGATGTAATTCAATAATTACAAATACAATAAAACAAGAGGATAAGAGAAAAATGAAAAAAAGAGAATTTTGTGTCAAAAAGTTTATCAAATGAACTTTTACATATTTGCTGTCCCTCACCATCTCCATTATGCCTTTTTTTTTTTTTTTTTTTTCCAATATAATTCACTCCTTTGCCGTTGTGCTTATTATTATTAAAATAATGTTTGAAAAGAAAAAGAAAAAGAAAATGTAACCAATGAGAGAGAGAGGGGGTCAAAGGGGGTGGGGGAAAAAGGGGGATGAATCATTGTTGTTATTATTATTATTTTATGAAAAAGTCTTCTTGAGATTTTTACTTGACTTCTGACTTGTTGAATTATTGAGTCTATTTTTAGACTCAATTTTGATAATATAAACCGTTCACATTTTAAGATTTGTTGAGTATATGATACTTATTAAAAATCAAGTTGATCGGATATCAAAAAACATGTGTTCGGAAACCTGTTTATTATTATTTTTTTAAAAATGGTTTTCAGTTTGATGATCCGAACACATACTTTCTGATATTCAATCAACTTGATTTTTTACAGGTATGATATACTCAATAAATTTTAAAATATGAATGGTTCGAATCATCAAAATTAGTCCTAAAAGTAGTTCCAATAACCTAACAAGTAAAAGTAAAAAATTTAAGGAAGGGATCCAGATTCGTCCAGTAGGTCTTGATTTTTCAACATGTGTCCTTTTTCTCTTGGTTAACTCACTGGAGGAATGAGATCCATGATTCGGATGCTGACCGACGGCTTATTACACTGTTGCGGGCAATTTGGAAACAAAGAAATAGTGTGGTTTTGCAAGAAAATTTGTTCACTTGTCAACAAACTATTGCTGTAGCCCAAGATTTATTTCGTCCCTCAGCCTTTGTAAACAGGGCACAGAGGCAGAATGAGGGTATGATGGATAATGAGGAAAATGAAACATATTCTCCAGGGGTTTTACATGCCACGTGTACTTGCGAATGATGCGCCTCATGATGTTGATTTGCAAGAACACAGATTGATTATTGATGGATCATGGAGGAAAGACGACGGAAGTGCAGGCATAGCTTATGATGCTTGTGAGGAAGCGATTTTAGAATATTCTTTTAATTCAAACAAGTCCTTGAAAGATTTTTCAGTTGTCACCAGAAAGGAAGAAAAACTCTAGTTGGTGGTGTTGGAATTATTACTCCGACGAGTAAGATGATTTCTCTTGAAAGAATAGCTTTTGATTTCTTAGGGTACAAGTTTTTTAGAACATACCTTTGTCTCTAACCTCTTCCTCATTTTATAGTCATTCTGCTTGATATTTTCTCCTGTAACTTAGCCTTTTATCATCATTCTGCCAGGGCTCACCTTCCTACTATATTATTTTGATAAGGGACAGCCTGGGTCCATGTAATAAGAGCATGCTGACTTACCTGACATACTCGGCTTTGATGCTCGGTCTAGATACCTTCAACTCGGCATGTTTCTCAGCCCACTTATATTTAGTTGGCAATGACTTGTCAAAGTCTAATGGGCTGACTGAATCTTGCCCATCAAGGACGAGCTTGGTTGGGCCCTGTTTGCCGATTATAGGTTAATTTTATTTGGCTCCCACAATGCTAATGAGGAACCCATAGCTCAAAGAGCTGCTCAACTTCATCTTCCTCCAGCTTTTGCGGCCGAGGTCACTGTTTGTCAACGAGCTATTCAATGGGCAAAGGAATAGAGACTTCTAAACATTTACATATGGACGGACTCATAGCTTTTGGTTAATGTTTTGTGTAAACGAGTCCAACCTTTTTGGATTTTCGCATCTTTAGTGGCATATATTTGGTTGTCTTGTAAGTATTTTAGTTATATTAGTCTCTAAGGTCAATAGGAGAACGTTAAGCCAGCTCATGACTTGGTTTAGTCTGTAAATAATTTTCAAGTTAATGTTAATATTTATATGTTTGTTTTTTCTCAAAAAAAATAAAAATAAATAAATAAGTAAAAAATTAATTGACAACATGGGCAAGCTAGGATTTTTTTATGAGGAATAGTAAAATTAATTGGAATTTTCCAAAAGAGGAAAAAAATAAATCAAGAGGTGGCAAATCAAAAGATAATTTAAAACTATATGTAATGTAATATTTTTTTACAAAACATTAATGGGTAAATTTAAAAATAAAATAAAATAACCATAGGAGCAAGTAACATTTTCCTAATTTTCTTTAATAAAATTAATAAATTTACCTAATTATCCTCATCATGGTGTGTATTTTTCAAACATGGAATTCAAGTGTTTGATTGCTGGTGATGTTAAGTGACATTTGGACATAGGAATAATGAAAGGTAAAATATACTTTTTAGGTAAAAATTGATAATGTTGATCATTTTTCATTAGTTTCACTAATGATATGATGAAATTTATATTTTTTTAAAAAAAATATAATGTAATTATATAAAAATTATGACACTAGTTGCAATTTATTTACTCCCCCCATATTTACCTCAATGGATGTATTCATATATCCAAAAAAAATATAATGTAATTATATAAAAATTATGACACTAGTTGCAATTTATTTACTCCCCCCATATTTACCTCAATGGATGTATTCATATATCCAACTGTATCTCTATATATACACCTTCCCTTCCATGCTGCCTTCTCTTCCCTCCTCTTTCACCTCATCCCCAAGTCTCTCTCTCTCTCGCTCTCTCCAAAATTCAAGCCATGCACTCCGGTGAAGATTGTGAAGAACTCTATAGCCTACCTCCAAACCCATCACAACCTCTCTACACTCTCTCTCATGCATACCAAAACAATCCCTCCTCAAGTAACCACCAGAAAATGAAGTCAACTGAAATCTTCACAACCCATACCACTCTCCCACCTCCAAACCCTACTCAAGACCCGTCCCATTTCAGCACATTCTACATAAACACATCGTTCCCATACATATCCTCTCCCCCACGAGCCCTCTTCAAACACGTCGTCTTACAGTAACAACTCAAATTCCATGGTGGCCACACTGGGCAAAGAAGGCATGGCCGGTGAGTTGAGGCGTAAGAGGTTGGTGTCAAACTGAGAATCGGCCAGAAGGACACGGCTGCAAAGGAAGAACAAGATTGAAGAGCTTCAGTAGCAGAAAAACGAGCTCATGGCCGCAAACCAGAAGCTCACGGAACAGCTCATCAATATGTCACAGTGCATCAACTCACTCTTCCAGGAGAATGCCCAACTCAAAGAGGATATTAATCTCCTCCAAAGTGTTAATGATAATGGGATTTTCTAACATGTTATCAAGTATTAGCTCTCTAATATGATGTTTATACAGATTTTGATGGAACATCTTTGTAGTTAAATCGATGCATATATCATATCTAGTATCCTATCTTTTCATTACATGTATGGGTTGGGGGCAAGAAGCATACAAAAATGATGCTGGCTTTTCTGGGTAGTCTTTTTTTTCTTTTGCACTATTTTGGGTCTGGTGTTTGTCAAGGAAAAGGGAAGGGGAAAAAAGAGAAGATATAAGAAATTGTCTGCAATATGTAACAAATAATTTTAATTTCGTAAAAACATCCAAGATCCAAAATACTAGTAGAGAATTCATCAACAAAATCTAAGAAAAATGGAACTTGGTTCAACTCTGTTGAAATTATGGTGCCTGTGGGTAGTCAAAAACATTTCTAAACTTTGATGATGTTTGTGGACTGAAGCCTAAATTAATTGGTCGGTAGGGAATGTATTCTTGATGATGTCATGTTGCATCTTTGGTAATTATGTTCAACTAGCAACTCAATGATATTATATTTAGGTAGCCTGTGTTTCGATCCACAATTGTCCGTGGAAATGAAAATGAATGAGAAGCTAATAAATATTTGTTTTCTTTTTTGGCTGGAATGGGAAAATAAAAGCATGAATATATATAACTGTAAAAAATCAAATTCAAGATCTAAACAGAACCCAAGAGTTCAAGGAGTTGTTACGATCATCATATAATAATAATATTGCTGGAAAAATATCACTAAAAGAAAGATTGGATAATAAAAGATCAGATTCCTCATAAAGTTCAGCATGCTGTTTACTTGGCAACCACGAAACCTTTTTTCGACTGATTTGCAGGCAACTTTGTTTGTTGAAAAGTGCTCATGCTTTGATGAAATCCCATATGATTCAGATGGATTTCACATAAAAAGATGGGTGGGTCCCATAAACAGTTTAGGATTGAAGTAGGAGAGGACTTTGGTGTCAGCAGTGAAGGAGGATTAAGAAACATGCCTTTACAAAGAGGGTGGTTAAATCCAATGGTGGACGGTGCAAAGCCCTCGAAATGAACATAATGACTAGAATTGGAAAGGACAGTGTTCAATGAAGAGATCACTTGAAATGTAGGCACTATACTTCAAGAGGAAGCATAGAATGTGTAAAAGGGTAATTGACAAAATAGGTAATACAGATGACCAATGCTACATAACCAGGGGAAAAAAAACCTAAAAATTTTGAATTGTGTAAAACGAGATTCATTTTGAGTACGACCTGCACCATATTAGGTTTCAATCTACATAATAAATTCAAATTCTAAACATTTTCCACAAGAAGCAACAATTATTTATTTATTTTCCCCAATCATTTCCCCAATTTATCATGTAGGTTTCAATCTACATAATAAATTCAAATTCTAAACATTTTTTTTTTATTTTTTTATAGTTATAATGCAAGATATTCATCCACAAGAAGCAACAATTATTTATTTATTTTTATGTAGTTTTCAACTCATTCTTTCTCCCATTTTGTTTCCAAAGACCCTTTATGCTACATTTGGGTTTTGGGTTTGTGGAGCAAAAAATGGGGAAATGATTTATGAAAAAAGTCTTTCTACTTCATTTACTTTTACTTTTCTTTTCCCTGCACAAATTTAAGATTCAAACTTCACCTCAATTTATTAGGCTCATAGTTGCCAGATTAGTACTTAATTGAGCTTCTAAGTAATTAATCAGTTCAAGTAACTACGACAAAAATTGAGTATATTAAATGTTTCTGGTCCCTTTTCCCCAAATATTTGAGTTCTGCACCAACTACTAATAAAATGGCATTTTGATATTCCACGTGGACTGGGTACGCCAGTTTGTCCCTTGGCTAAATTTTTCATTGGTAAGCCTCAAGCTTAATTTACATTAGCTATGGCTCAATACTGTTTTCATGTTCACACAACATTGATAATTATAGAATAAACATTTCTAAGCACCATGTAAAATACAGCAGGGAAGTTTTGGTTCCTTTACTCTGTTACCTCGATCAGCATCGCTTTTGGTTTCATAAGAGTGAAGAAGGTATTGGAAGATCACCCATCACGCATCAAGAACGTCCCGTTTGAAATTAAAGTTGAGGAGTCTGCAGGAGAAGTTGAACTAAAGCTGCTCTCGTCTTCGAGAAATTGTACTGGGTCTGCATATGAATGAAAAAAGTGCCACCTAGAAAGACATTCCCCAATAAAGGTTAGCTTCTGATTAGATATATAATGACCATGGTTAATCAACATATGCGTTCTTCAATTTTATTTTACCTGCTTGCCTTTATAGTTTCTCCATCTATTGTCACACTTTTATCAAATACGTTGCCTACAAGTGACAAATAATGTAAAATAATGGAAAAAACTTCCATGCAAATTACAAAGAATGAAGTCCGCATTTGGCACACAAGTTGTGCTACAACATTACATTACCGCAAAACCACAATAGTATCAACAATAGTATTGACATCCATTCTATAAATAAAAAAAGACATTCAATTGGAATATAAAAAAATAAAATAAAATCTACTTGTTCTATTTATGGTGATGTAGATATTGATGGATGCAAGTTAGTGTTGCAAAATCACGTTAGCACAAAAATTGAAAGGCACAACAATATTGGGATCATCTAATGAAATTCATTTTATATACTACACTAGTGCTAAGAATTACACAGACATTCAAGTGCAATAGAAAACAGTGCGCTTGTTGGAAAAAGTCAGCTACCTGCCTCATGAACTAGTGTTGAATGGGTGTAAAATATAAAATTGCAATTTTGTTTCAAAAAAAATTGGTGGTACACTGGTAAACAACTAATTGATGTCGTGATTAAAATTGATATGTTCCAAGGCAAGATTAAAATAGTCCAAACATGTGTATCATTGAGTTTTAGAAGGCTTGTTCATGATTTTGAAAAATTCATGACCGCTTCACCGGATTTCAATGCATATCATTCGATACTCCCAATAACGTTACACTACAACTGTTACCACTACGTGTACCGATATCAATTTAAAACCATGCTGGCAACTTACAATAGGCCCAAGTATATCCTATCAGGATTCATGGTGATAATTTTTATTCATTTATCCTGACAAGAGCGGGTTTAAAAGCACACTTCCAGATTTTTACTTTTAGAAATAAGATTACACGTTACCTGCATTCATCTAAATTATTTGACAATTACTAGGTGACTAGGTCTAGATATACTTCTTTTCCAAAAAACTCGTACATATTTTGTACCTGTTGGCACTGGTTGTATCCCGTTTTACACGTAAAACACAAGTTTAGACCTTGTATGGAAACTCCAAATAAATGTTTACCCCCATAAATATCCTTATCTGAGAAGTATTTGGCCATCACTCGACAAATGTGGTCAGCCTCATATTTGTTGAGCTTTTCGATGTACTCCTTGCTATTCATATCCCTAGACAAACCAAAAACAAAGTAAGTGTTGGATTTGACTGGCAAGTAGAGACAAATATTAATCAAGTAAACCCTATGAAATCAATCTCAAATTTAAAGAGGTTATGTAAGCATCTTAAAAATAAGTTGCATTAACCATAACGTGATGAATATACCAAGTATATGGGAAAGCTGAAATTGCAATAGCTTGTTTAGCAGCGTACTTAAAGAAGTTTCACCAAGAAATGAATTTCATTTGAAAAGAGGGAAGGAAAACACATGACCTTTTTCAATTGTAGAACAATAAGCTTGTAGATGATCAGCAATGTGTTTGTCTATGTTACATGGACTAGGGTACGGATGTTGGGGGAGGATACGTATCTAAAAGTCGAACCCATCAAAAATTAACTTTATGGGTACGAGACTCGGCAAAATCCTTCGTTCGATCCTTGGTTAAAATGCATAAGCATAATTGGTTCATCACTTAAATTTCAACAAATCAGTGGATTTGTTGGGGTGCCTCACCTCTATGCATATCGCAGAAATGCTTTGAAAACTCTACGGTTGCCTTAGCTCTCTCCCTCTCCATCTCTAGTAGTCTGGCATTATCTTAGTCCTACCATGATTCCCATAAGGGCCCATGGTCTGCTCACTCCAATGAAGAAGAGTTATGCTTGTTTCCCATGGTGCTCCTAGGAGAAACAATCCTTGAGTCTTTGGCTTATTTAATTTTGGGTTTCATTTTCATACTTCATCGATTTTCAATTGGTTCAAACAAAAATATGTACTAATTTAACAATACAATAGAGTTCATGACTTGCATTCATTAAACAACTATAAGATGTACTTTGTGTTTCCCATTATGTTACATGGACTAGGATACAAGTATCGAGTGCGGGTGTGTATCCAAGCATCAAACTTTCATAAATTTAAATCTTAAGATCTTGGGATGCGTACCCAAAATTAGATACAGGCGTAGGGATGCGTTATATACACATATATTAAATAATATATAATAAAGGGCTGGTATTTTTCTCCACTTTTTTACTTTGGCCCCTCCACTTCTTTGAACCCCCATCCAGAAAAATGAGTCCCTCCCATTTTATTTTTGAACCCCCACCGTAATACCAACTACACTTCTAACCCCAAATCCAAATCCCAACCTAAACCGAAACCCTAGCCCCTAATCCTAATCTCATCCCCACCAACTTCGGCAACCACCACCGCTATCTCTTGTGGCCAACTACAACAACCACCTTCTCCCGTCGGCTCCTCTTTCTCACCATTGATCCTCCTCACCGCTCCATTGTCTCTGGACATTTTCACCAAACCCTAACCCTAGACCTAGGGTTTTCAGAGAGAGCAAGGCGGAGATCGAGCGAGAGAGAGAGTGAGGCGACGGTAACGGCGACGGTGATTATGGCGGAGATGGTGACGTGACAAACCTAGAATTAGAATCAAAACGTTTCCTCTCACTACAACAGGCCCAGAACGCTTTGTTCTGAAACTGAGCTTTGGGTTTGCTTCAATGCAGGTTTTCGCCATTGTTGAAGTTGAATTTGAGCTCAAAATGAGTTGGGTTGTAACTGGAAGTAAAAGAAGAGAGATGAAGAGAGGATTTGCTGGTGCCATTTTGACCGAATTACAGAGATTCTCAATACCCAACTGAGCATTCATAGTAAAACAAACTAGATTGTCACTGAATCTCTCTCTCTAGATCGATTTCAGTCACTGTGATTGAGGTTTTAGAGAAAGAAAAAATGGGGAGTGAGGAGAGAGAAAAAATGAGAGTGGATTTTTTTGGTATCCAAAAAAGCTGCAACTCATGACAGTGCTGCGAGGTTGGTGGAGCTAGGGGGGTTGGGGTTGGGGTTGGGGTTGAAAGGATAGAGATGGGGTCAAAAATGGAAATTGGTGTTAGGACAAAATTGTAATTAAAAAAAAACATAGGAGAGTGGGGAGTTCAAAGTAAAGAGGTAAGTGCTAATAGCAGCCCTCATATAATATTCTTGAATGAAATGTTGTAAATTATATAGGAATTGAAATTGAATATGATTCAAGAAAAATATAAATTTTTTTATATCTAATTCACGTGAGAGGTTAAAAATATTGTTTTACTAGCAAGTGTGGGTTTCTTCTTCTCATATATTGTAACAAATTAAAGGATCCGAGTGTCTAAATTGAATATGAGTGTCGGACACATATATCACACCCTTACTCATGTCATATCCGGTGAACACGGGCACTGAGGCTACAAACGAACCAAGTTGTTCATGAATAATTCGAGCTTAGTTTGTTTATAACTAGTTTGAGCTCAGCTAGTTCACTAAATGGACGAGCTCAAGCTCGATTTTTAAGCTTGTTTATTAATCGAACCGAGCTTGAGCAACCCTAAGTTTGTCTCCATAAGGCTCGTGAACATAAAAAGGATCCGAGTGTCTAAATTGAATACGAGTGTCGGACACATATATCACACCCTTACTCATGTCATATCCGGTGAACACGGGCACTAAGGCTACAAACGAACCAAGTTGTTCATGAATAATTTGAGCTTAGTTTGTTTATAACTAGTTTGAGCTCAGCTAGTTCACTAAATGGACGAGCTCAAGCTCGATTTTTAAGCTTGTTTATTAATCGAACTGAGCTTGAGCAACCCTAAGTTTGTCTCCATAAGGCTCGTGAACATAAAAATAAATAAATAAATATTTATTTTTAATAATACATCAAATAAATTTTCAATAATCTATTTTATTTTTCTATTTATTTTTGATGTTTGTGTAAATTTACATATTTGATTGATAAAATTTATTATTAATATAAAAATTATTATATATTTTACTAATAATTTTGTATTTTTTTTTAATCTTAATAAGTAAATTAATTTAAGTTTAATTTTCTTTTCAAGCTCGAGCTATAACTCGACTCATTTACGTAATCAAGCAAGCTCAAGTTCAAATACTTGAGGAGCCGAGCTTGAGCTCGACTAATTCTTAATAAACAAGCTTGAAGTGTGGGGGTTTAGGAAGCACGGATACGGATACGGGATACGGGTACGATATGATACAGATACGGAAAAATTCGAAAAAGTAAGATACGGATACGGCGGGGATACGTTCATAAAAAATATTTTTTTTCACAATTTTTAGTAATGTAGCATACACAAAAATAAAACTTCAACAATTTTTAGTAATGTAACATACATAAAATAAAACTTCAACAATTTTTAGTAATGTAGCATACATAAAAATAAAACTTACGGGTACGATACGATACGGATACGGCGATACGGCAAAATTCGAAAAAGTAGGATACGGATACGGCAGGGATACGTTCATAAAAAATTTTTTTTTTCACAATTTTTAGTAATGTAGCATACACAAAAATAAAACTTCAACAATTTTTAGTAATGTAACATACATAAAATAAAACTTCAACAATTTTCAGTAATGTAGCATATATAAAAATAAAACTTAAAACAAAAGACAACTTGATAACAACCATAATGCATCATCCATAACAAAAAATTCATCAATTCAATTAAATTTCAACAATTTTAACAATATAACATCACCTATAACAACAATAATGCAATTCAATCCCAAATTAAGGGGGAAAAAATTTACAAAGTTCATTTATTTATCAATAAGTTTATTTATGTATTTATTAATAAGTTTTTTTTACCTTATTTGATTTATTAATAAGTTTACAAAGTTTATAATTTTATAAGTTGACAAATTTTATTTTTAATAAGTTTATTTATTTATTTATTTATTTACTAATAAGTTTTTTTACCTTATTTTATTTATTTATTTATTTATTAATAAGTTTATTTATTTATTTGTTTTATTTATTTGTTTTTTTACCTTATTTGTTTATTTATTTATTTGTTTTATTTATTTAAACCGAATAATACACATAAGTTTTTTTTTTTTTTTTAATATCTTATTTGATTTGCAAATCGCAGAGTATACATACAACAAATTAAAAAAAATAAATAAATACAAATAAATAAAGACAGATGAGATCGAGTCGAGAGGGGAGGGGATGAGATCGAGTCGCGATCTCCAACCAGACAGACAGATCGAGCGAGAGCGAGAGGGAGAGGGAGAGGGAGAGGGAGAGAGAGAGTTCGTGAGATCGAGTGTTGTGAGAGGCAGACAGAGGGAGTGAAAGGGAGAGAGAGAGGGACGAACCTGAAAGACGATCGTGGAGCTCCTGTTCGCGAACCTGATCGACGATCGGCGAGCTATTGTCCGAGACGACGACGAAGAACTCCTTCTCCTCCTCCTTCGCGGTTGCTGTTCGACCTAGGTAAGAGAGAGTTTGGTTTATTATTTTTCTTGTGTTTGGTTCGACCTAGCTGTTGTACGAAGAACTTTCTTTTTTGTGTTTTATTTTACATTTTTTTCATATTTTACAATTTGACCCTTACTTAAAGTTTTTAAATTATTTTTTTGCCCCGCCGTATCCATACCGTATCTTGACCGTATCCTTACCGTATCCTCGCGTATCCGAAATTCAAAAATTTTAAAAAAAAATTAGATACTTCATTTCCTGTATCTGATACGTATCCCGCCGTATCGGGCGCATATCCGTATCCGATAGGTATCCGATACGCGTACGGGGGCTATTTCAGAGTATCCGTGCTTCATAGGTGTGGGTATAGAAGAATCCATGTAACACAGGTTTCCCGCACAATCAAAAATCAACTCTCGACTATGATTCGTAATTCCCCCTCCCGATTAGTCAAGTGGTTGCCAAAACCAAAACCGGATACCCGGATTTCAAAAAGAAAAGGAAAATGCTAGAGAACAGGCAACAGAGCTACAAATAAACTCTTTATATCAACATTTTGTTAGTTTTCGATTAAATTGGGACCAATTGACCAATACACAAGCATCGAGTAATAGGTCATAAAAAATTAGGTAACAAACAGATAAAACACTATTTAGGCCGAGCCATGGAATTGGATGAAGAAAACGAATGAGATTTTAAAAAAAAAAAAATTATTAGAAATTGAGGAGGCTCACTCACGCGTACAGATCGAGTGAGAGAGGATTTTGCCGGAGGGCATCAGGGACGCCATTGTCAGTTGCACCATCCTTCACAGAACCCTAACTCGAATTAGTTAGCAGAACACCAACCAAAGCACATATACAAACATACACACACATATATATATATAGAGAGAGAGAGAGAGAGAGAACCTGGTGGTGCGATGGAGTAGGAGGGGTGGGTTGGGAAGCGGAAAGCTCGGAGTTGGAGGCGGAGGGAGGTGAGGAAGGAGAGAACGAAGAAGTGAGCGACGCCATGGCAGTGAGAGTTGAGAGAGTTGGGGAAAAATGTTTAGATTCGAATAGGGCGGAGCAAGAATATGTAAATTCCGTAATTCGATCCGGTTAGTTTAATCTGATAGATTTGAATTGATTTTTTAAACTCGTGATTCGATGCTAGATTAGAAAGTTAAAAATTTACAATTTATGGATCGGTTTTAAATTGAACGTTGTGGTTTTGAATTGAACCGATTAGGACGATATATAAATATTTTATATTTATATAATATACCCTCACACATAATATTTTCTTTTATTTCATATAAAATTTAAATTTACTTAGTATTTTCTTTTGTTGTTTTGTTTTGTTAATTTTTAATTTTAATTTATAATGGTCTAAATACTTATGATGGAACTAGTTTTCTTATAATTATTTAAATTTTAGAATAGTATATCGTTATTGTGAAACTAATATGATACTATATTTATATTTTTATGAAATTAAAATGTTCTATATATATATTATTATTTAATTATGTGAATCTGTGATCCTAAACCGATCAAATCCGTGTTTAAATGAATTGGTTACGGATTGGATTAGTTCTAATTTTTCAGGAACCGAAGATAACAGATTGATCCTGATTTTACACCAATCCAGACTAATCCGGACCATGCTCACCCCTATATTTGAAAAATGACTCTTTAATTTTTTTTTTCTTTTTTTTTTAATTTAAAATTTAAAATTTATAAATAAATAATAGTTTGTAAACAAATTTTATTCTAAAATTACAAGGTTAAGAATCACACTTCTAAAAGTTTTTTAAATTAAAAGAAAAAATATGCATCTTATAATTACATAATAAAATGACATAATTCTATATTCTTAAGAAAATTATTTATAAGTTCTATTAGGGAAACTTATTTAATGTAAAGTCCTTTGTAGTTTTTTATAGAGTTTCAAGTCCTATTTAGATTAGAAGGTGTTTCATAAGGTCCTATGAGTTGTAAGTAAATGGTATTAGCATACTATTATACCTTTTATATGTTTCCATACTATAGGTTATTCTATCATTTAGCCTATTAAGGTTTGGAGACTTCTAGGAAAGTGTATTGTGTAGGCTTCGTCCATGGGCGTGAATTGCACATTGATCGCGGATTCTAGTGGATTTTGAAAATGTTGTTGGTTTGGATGTAGATATAGGTGATGCTGTCATCAAGGTTAGGGGTTTTGTTGTTTGCTTTTGCCGATTTGGACTCCAAGTGTTTGAGAGAGGGAGATAAGGTTATTTGCTTCTGCAATTGGTGAGTGTTGTTGTGTGATTACCGATTGTTCTGTTTTCAATGTCATCTTATCTGATCACAATCTGGTATAGCCATCTATTGGCACACTTTCATTAGCCTCCATTGAAGTTACACTTAGGTTGTAATGTTAACCAACATCTATAATGTTGTTATGTCTTGTGTATGTTACGTTCGGTTGTATTTGTCTTTGACTTTGTGTTGTGACGTTATTATATTCAGTGTTTACATACTTGTCACATTACGTTTCGCAAAAGTACTGGGTTATTAATTTTTATTTGAATGTGAAAATATTGCTGGGTTATGCAAAATGGTACAACCATACATTGACACACTTTCGTTAGTCTCAAAGGATGTTACATTTAGGTTGTAATGCTAAACCACATCTGCAATATTGTTATTTTTTGGTGTGTGTTACATTCGATTCTATTTAATTTGTGTTGTGACGTTGTATTCAGTGTGGACATACGTGTCACATTATGTTTCGAAAACTTATTGGGTTTTTGATTTTTCCAATTGAATGTGAAAATGTTGCTGGTTCATGGAAAGTATTGGAATGTATGTGAATGTTACTCTTAGTTTTCATTATATATTATTCAATTCGAATTTATATTGTTTATCTGTAAACTTTCTTATGATGGCTTGTGATTGAATGTGGGTTAAACCCTGTTGTATGATGTCGAAGTTACTGTGCTCACATTTGATTATACATTACATATGTTGCATGCCTTATTTTTTTGTTTAGTTGCGGAATGTAGTGACACGGTTATTTTCATTTATTTTGTTGCTCAGGATATGGACATCATGCTATTGTGCATGTTCAGTTCACCCACTATTGCTGTCAGGGGTGTTAATGGATTGACATTCACACAGTTGGTTAATAATTTATATGAGAGGTGGGCGGACGTGACACCATCATTGATTTCCATATCTTACAAATTACCGTGTCGGAGAACCAATTCATGATGAGTACTGACGTGGATGTGAAAAACATGTTTTCCCTTGTAAGGTCCTTTGGTGTTACCCATATCAACGTTGCGGTTGGCTCATAAAATGAGGTGGATGATCTGATTTGAGGTAAGCAATATGGTGGGACTATCTCTGCAAGTCAAATGGATCCTAACAAGGAACAATTTTCGGGGGCCGAAACGGACGTAGATTTGTTGCCCAATTATTGTCACCACAGTGAGAAAACGTTGATAACAGTCGATTGGTCACATGGCATTAGTCACGTAGGCCAATGTTTCGAATTGGGTGTTGCTGCATTCCGTTTGGTTCTGTCCAAATATGCTATTGAGTGTGGGTTTGACTTCAAATTCGTGAAAAATGATTCAGTGCGAGTCACGACTGTATGCACATTGCGAGAGCAAAAAGGGTGTACATGGTTGATACATAGAAGGGTTCAAACATGCAATGGATGCTTTTACTTGAAGATGTTGAACAACTTGCATAATTGTGGTGCTGTTGTTCGCACTAGGAAGAATAGTAGACTTAACTCTGAATTGGTTTGCAATTTTTTTGGTGATCGGGTGCGTGACAAGCCGCTTACACGTCCCACTGATGTCGTGTTTGGCCTAAAAAAAAAGTACGAATTGACTGTTAGTTATCACATAGCCTAGTTAGGTATGGAGAAGGCAAGAGGGCGAAGTGTATGGTGACTATTATGTTTCATTCAATCAACTTAGGTGGTACGCGGATACAGTTATGCAATACAATCCTGAGAGTTATGTGAACTTAGATTTCGAGCAGTCAACCGGCCAATTTAAGCAATTCTTTATATCATTCAAATCTTGCATTGACCGATTCAACCATATCCGCCCATTATTGTTCCTTGATGGCACATTCTTGAAATGGAGATTTAAAGGCAATTTGCTTGTAGCGACGGGTAACGATGGTAACAAAAGTACGTGTCTTATGATAATTACTTCAATATTTCATATAGTAACGCATCACATGGCCACTGAACACTTTATTATTAGTCCACTATAGAAGTGGGGGATCCCTCATGGAAAATGTGTTTCCAATTTAATGTTATTTTTATACCATTGTCCATGTTACAGATCGAAATGTGAACGTAAACATTATTAAACCCATTACACATCTAATGTAACACTTGTCATAACTCCTAGGTTTATTTCCATTTGCTTTTGCTATCGTTGACTCCGAAACGACTGCAAATTGGACTTGGTTTTTACAGCAACTTGCTAACGTTATTAACAGTGCTCGAACATTAACTTTCGTATCTGATCGGAATGCTGGGTTGCTCAAATCCTTGCCTACTGTATTACCATATGCACATCATGCGTATTGTTTGCAACATCTCCAAGCAAATTTGAGGGACAAATTACGGTGGGTTGACAATCGTGTCCGTTTTGGTTTAATGGCCAAGTTGCGTAAATGTGCATACACTCCAACCGAGGCTTCGTTTCAGCACCATTTGGCCAAGCTAAAAGGATCAGGACGATCTGGGATAAATAATCTTTTGGAAGATATGCCACTGAACCATTGGGCCAGCACATATTTTAGGTTTGTGCACTTACATGTACTACTTGCATTTGCTTATTAGTACATATTTTACACTAGACGACCAAGTTACATTTGAAAATACCCAATATTTGATAACGTTGTCGTGATGTTTTCAAAATGTCAACAGGGGCAAACGCTATGGGGAGATGACCTCCAACGCTACAGAATCGTTCAATAAATGGATACATGATGCCTGTAATTACCTAATCACTTGGTTGGTTGATACGGTCATAAATCAAATAATGACAATGAGGGCTGATCGTAAATTATTGGCTACTAATTGGAATGACTTACTTTGTCCAAAAATGAAAAGCTGTGTAAGGGAGGTGTACTCCAGTGGTTGCACGTGGATTGTTAGTCAGGAAAATGAAGACATGTACGAGGTCTATTCATTTCCAACGGTGTTGGTAGACATTGGCAAACCTTCATGTTCATGTTTCTAGTGGCAACTGAATGGATTCCCATGTGCATATGCGGTGGTTGCAATACAGAATAGTGGAAGCGATTTTAGTACATGTGTTGAACCATTTTTTACCTTCGATCAGTACAAAGCAGCTTATTTTGGATACATTCAGCCAATACAACAGTTGACAAACCGTCATTTTCGGCAGATGATTTCATCATATCTCCACCGGCAGTTATACGTCCTCTAGGGCGACCGAAGAAGAATCGGATACCATCTCGATGAGAAAAACTAAGTCAGATCAGGCGCGGGGCAATGTGGCCGTATAGGGAGCCACAACCGAAAGGCATGTAAAAAACCAATATAGTAATGGACACTTAGCGGCGAAGTTTTATAATCACTTTTGAATAGCAGCATCATATTATCGTATAAGAATGTAGCAAAAAAAAAAAATAATGACAAATTTTAATAAGTCAACACATTGCTGACATGTTATAGTTTAGCTGATTTTGTTATTCACACCATTTTTCAGTTGGATCACCATTTGCGTTTATACAATTTGGGTTGACTATATGCTTCAACAGTGGGAACAAATTTGAAATCAAATCGAATTGAATCATTCGGAATTCAAAGAACAATATTGTTTACAAACTTTTAAAAAAAATTAGAACTTATAGTTTTGCAAATTGGTGGAATTGTAATTTGAAGCAAACAAGCTAAAATCCTTTCCAAACAAATGTTCTTTTTACTCTTATATCTTTTACCAAAAAAACTAAAAATGTGATTTACCAAACGAACCTTAGTGTCAGTGAACAATGTGAACATACGAACGCGAATGTGCTACCTGAAAGGGTGACAAATAACACACTACGAATGTGAGCGTGACACCCTAAAATATAAGACAATACGCAAATTGGCATTTACCAACAATATCAAACATGGTATGACAACATATAACATAATAGTATGCATGCCGATTTATTGAATAATGCCACAACAT